TTTTTTGGTTCGTTTGATCTCTCTAACCTCTGACACACTGATCACCCGCGACACTCGGGTTCGCTGGTGCTGCGCGAGTCCACTTAGAAAATGTTCGCTCGCCGACGTACGGTAAGCCCTGATACGAGATACGTCAAAAATTTTGGACAGCCACTACTCCACATCTGTTTGCGTTTGGACGTGAATGCAGCGATTCGACACCGCGTTACGGGACCGAGCACCGTCGGAGCTGCGCCGATTCTTCAAAACAGCTGAGCAACTAACACGCGACAGAGCGCGCGCCCTCGCGTCCATCGTGGTGAACCAAGGCACCAAGCATACACCGAGTCGCCAAGCATTCGAGACGAATTTGTCGTTGTGTTTATTATATACCACGGACAAAGTTATTCCTAGACTCGTTGCATCTCGTGGTACTTTCGCGGTCTCACGCGTCGCGCTCTGCAATACCGACGCAGTAGAAAATCAGTTGTCCCTTAGGTCTCTACGCTACGGTCGAATAGCGATGAATCGGAGAATTCGCATCAAGTAAAACGATTAAGTAACGAATGCGTCAGGAACGTGATTTTTAAAATTTGTCATGGCGTTGTTAAATTTTCAATATCGATACATGGACGAGATACGGGCATAGATGTTGCACCCCGTTGGATTTTCTGTTTCGTGCTTTGCAATACCGATGCAGTAGCAAAAGTCGGTCGTTTTTAGCGCGCTCTATGCTTAAACAGCGGTGAATTAGAAAACTACGTCGAGTAAACAATGCAATCGGAGTTGATCGAGCAACGAAGGCGCCAAAATTTTGAAATTTATTACAGTGTTGTCAACTTTCAATATATGTATGTACCTCGTCTGTGCTAGTAACTAACCGAAATCGCAAATAGCTCTATCCCTGTTTTACAGATTTATAACAGCTTTTATATATATAATTAAAATTTTAAAATTAAAATTTAATAATTTTAAAATTATTAATATACAGTTGTATGATAATTATTATACATGCATCTGATTTATATTTTATACATTCTTGAAAACAATTTTTGTCTAATCAAATTTTCAACTGTTAAATTGTCGTTAGTATTAAAATATTAAAATTATTACATCTTCTCATTTATTTATATTACATATTCAAATTTATGTTAAGTTTAACATTGAATTTAACAATTTTATTAAAATTATGCATTGAGAGTGACAAATAACAAATTCTTCGCAATTTTGCTTGTCATTCTTGCGCAATTCTATTATTCAATAGTTAAAAATTACGCTCACTTATTCAAGTATTATTCAAAAGTTTTCTAACTTACCTAGCAAACTAACTTTATCTAGCAACATTACAACAATAACAAACCTTTATTATTTATTTAATATAAATCAGTATTTCATGAAGATGAAAAATACAAATACATATATCCTTATATATCTTGTAACTAAAGGAATGTTTTTACAAATTTAGTACAAAGAGATAAATTATATTTTTGGGGTCAAACGATGAAAGAAACTTCAAGGTCAAATGAAGGGGAATCTAGTTTTCTTTGTAACATTTGTCAAGATGAATTCAATGACTCATGTATGATTCATTTATTGTTGAAAAATACCTGAAATTGCGTTGTAAATTAGTTAACTAAATCTAAATCTTAAATTAAGTCTATACGACTATAATATTTATAATAGAATAACGCAAAATGACATATATATATATCTTTTTCCGATTTGTACTTTGGTCATTGACCGAATCTTAAGACGACGTCATAGTGTGAAAAGGGAAATAAGTTTTAGATTTCTTATTCAAAGCATACTGCTGAAGTGCATTTTAAGAGGATTTTGTCATGTCTAGTACTGTTCTATTTGTCAGCAAACGAAAATATAAAAAACATGTTTTGAATTTAAAATTAGGAAAACAGAATTTTTACTAAATAATTATTTTTAATTATTTTTAACAAATCTTTTTATCTCTTGAAATGTATATTTATTTATTTTTTATAGAACAATATACAATATAAAGTAAAATTTTCGTGAATTATTATTCTAAAGCAATATCATGAGACATGAACAAATATCGTGAGACGTAACAAAAAGAATAGGAAAAGTATAAGGTTTAGGTTAAGTCCAGAATTTTTCGTTATCACTTCTGACAATTTTCTTTGAAAAAACGATGTATAATACTTCTGGTACGACATGGCAACTACACCATTAGTATAGTAAGAAGTTTGAAAAAGGATGTTTGCTACCTCCTAATTTACGCGTTTCCATTGGTTATCATGTTTGTCGGCCATTCATATATAATTATCGTAAAGTTGCAAATTTTCAAATTTGCACGTCACTTTCCTTCCAGAGACAGCATTTTCGACAAATGTAATGATAAGGATAGATAATGCATACTTCTGACGAGCACTTTCGATAAGGTGAGATTACACGCTATTAAAGTGATAAGAAAATGGCTAGGTGAAGAAATGCGGGCTTGATTGGTTAGTTCTAATAGATCCAATTTTATCATAAATCGCAAATTAAATTACAGTCAGACTTTGTAGAAAATAGATATAATAGCTTGATAATTCGCATCAAAATGAATATAGAGGAAGTTATTGATTTCACGGCCGTAGGTAAGCATTAATATCTATGCTATTTATGTGCTATTGAGTTCACCAACTATCATTGCAATTGTTCTGATTTGATGTCTCAGACAAATTGAGCTGTCACGATTTGTCAGCAATTAAATTGTACTGAACGTGTTATCATGTTTATAACTGTACTTGTAACATATGGATGTGATCAAAGAAATTATTTTTTTGGCAACATTTTATAATCAATAATCATTGTATTGATTTAAATTCATTTCAATAAATTGCATAACGTTTTTTAATGAATTTTGTTTTGTTATCCTGAAATAACTTTCATTTCACTTTAACTTTTGTTGTCGCCTGGAATAGTAATACTTTCATTTCATTTCACTAAGCAATGGCGAGTGGCATCAATTGTTTTGCAAATATTTATAACATTTTATAGAACCAGACGTTCAATCTCTGATAAAGAAGACTGTGGCAGCTCGTGAGTACTCTTATTCACCCTATAGTAAGTTTAAAGTTGGAGCTGGAGTGCTTTGTATCGACGGGACCATTTTCACAGGGTGCAATATAGAAAATGCATCTTATCCTGTAGGGATATGCGCCGAAAGAACAGCTATTGTTAAAGCAGTGTCAGAAGGAAAGAGAAAGTTTAAGGTGTTGGCAGTAGTGGCTGACAAAGAGAACAATACTTTCACCACACCGTGTGGCCTTTGTAGGCAAACTATCGCGGAATTTGGCGATATACCAATTTATTTAGCAGAACCTCTGATGAAATCTGTGTTAAGAACGTCGCTAAGTAAGTTGTTACCTTGTGCATTTGGGTTGGGTAATGCAGAAATATTGCAATGAACTCTTAGCAGAAAGAAAATCATACAGACACACGCCAATGTCTAAAACATGATTTACTGTTTCTTTAAATTCATTGTTCGTTTTTATATCGGTTGATTTGCCAAGATGTTGTTCTATCGTATAATAAAAATGTGCAAATGTTGTTGGCTCGCATTGTATAAACTCATCAATAACAGTGTTAATGTGTGAGCGGTACATTTGTAACAATTCAGATATATCAGTTCCTATACAATAAATACAAAGACAATCCTTAAGAAAAAAATATCGTTACTATAATCTTATTCCTGAGCAGATTCTTTTTTTTTCATGTTTACATAAAAATTGATTATCATATGGTTTCTGAAGCGTGTTCTTTCTAATGTACATTGTACTTTATAAGCAGGAATAACATGAGTATTATATACAATCAATGTAATAATATAGCTTATATATGTACAATATGCTCTAATAGTATGACACTACGTATAATTACTTCTTAACAATAAAAAATGCAAATGCAAAAAACAGGAACGAGACTGCACATGATACACATTAAAGTCCTCATTTACGAAAATTTGTTTACCAGAAGGGACACCTGTAAATTAAATACGATTTCATTAAACACGAATAACGAATTGTTCATAACACATGATTAACAAGTAATTATAAAAATTACTAATAAGTTTGTAATTGTAAATATATTGTAAATAAAGTAATAAAAAAAAAGTACCATCCAATGTAACATTGACACAAATTCTCATTATTGGTAGCCTGCTGAATTAAAAGATCAACTTGGCGTTGAACACTCAGTGTTTCCTCGTGAGAGAAATCACGTCCAGTTAATTTGTCCCTTACTCTTGTTATGATGACAAGCGCTTTTTTATTCAACGCCTCTGGTTGATTAGTATCGCCTATGACGGTAATACGATTATTTTTATTTTTTTGTTGCTAACTTTGTTACCATTCATTTGCAATAACTTCGTCAGAATAAACGGTTTACCTCCATTTTCAACGCTGCACGGTACTCCTTTCTTTGGCAATGTGGCCGTAAGAGAATCCAGTACGTCACTGTGTTCTTGATTGCTACTGGCACTCATCCCCTGAGCATCAGATCTTTTACCTTTCAACGCGGCGTTGTCCATCAGCCGCCAGTTTAACAAAGGATCATAGACGAATGCCTCTAGTACAGCCATTAAGCTGTCCTTGTTACGATGCAGCACTGACATTACTGACTCGCAAGTTCTTCGATACGTGCCCTCGATTCCCGTTACTTCCATCGCGTTAATCAACATTCTTGTCAATCGAAACGGGATTTTCTCGGGGAACTTCTCACGCGTCATGGCTACCTCGAAGCAATCCCCGAAGTCGATGTGCAATATCTTCCCGCTCAAACGATCCAGCATCAGATTAGACGGATGTCGATCACCGAGGCCAAGAATATATCCCACTATAGACATTACAGCAAGTGAACGCGTGTAATTCGTCCTACGATCAAACCACACTTCGCTCGACGGCGACTTTAACCAAAGCAATCGCGACAGATCATCACCGTGCGTATGCTCAAGAGCGTGTTCGAACACCTCGACTTTCTGCATGAGCATAAGGTGATCGTAACCCGGCGCCATCTGCAAATCAACTTGTTGCGATTAAATAAAACAACGTGTACGTAATATTATGCACTTACTCGTAACATTATCTTATGCTCTATGTTCAACAGTATCTTCTTCTTTTCTCTGTAATCTCTGATTAATGTGTGTAACGTGTCGCAGTGTGGTACCCAGCCAATCAGACCGCTATTCGTAGACAGTGGAATCACAGCGTACCTCTGGATATAAAATTTGGCCGATAAAGGATCACGTTGTATAAAATAACATTATAAGATTTGCGTATTTTAATATGTTTACTTGGATAGTAAGATTCCTTCGGAAGGTGTCTGGATCGTGCAACAGGAGGGTATTGACTAGACCAAACAATTGCATTACTCGTTCATCCTGTCTGAGATCCTCGTGTCCTTTCAAAAGGAACATGTAATCTTTACCATTGCTACCTGCAAGTATCAGATATTGTCAAACGTTTGATCTATTCAAATTGAAAGATTGAAAGGCAACTGACCTTTTATACATAACTTTCGCGGTCGCTGTTTGCTCGTTATCACTTGCATGGAACTGTGTATACTTGCTATTCTGACTATTGGTTGCCCAGGGCTGTAGCTCCCCGGCACAGCCAACTCCAAGTCCCTACAAAGAAGTAGCTTCGGGCTGACGTACTGAAGCTCTAAGCTAGTTAGCTGCGGCAACTGTCGGGATATCCTTCTGAAAACGTGGTAGTACAAATCCCAAGCCTGATTCAGGTCGCGGACGTTGCGCGAGGTTTTGTATCGGCGACACCATTCCTGCGCTTCCATCAGGTCCCTGCCGTATGCTTGATTGAAAGACGTTTCTTTTAAAGTCTGTGGTCCCCTCTCCAACATTGCGTGTAAAGGTTCTAACGTGTCGAACATTCCTCGAACGTTCCTCTCGCCGAAATACAACCTACTGGCTTCTTCCAGCCCCTCGTGCCACAATTCGTGCCAGAGGATCGCTACTCTGATCAATTCGTCGCTGGCCATCATCGCTTGTTGCACCAGGGTCGGGCTGTGCTCGCACATGCTTTTAAGAATCTTATTGGCGGCAGTCTTCCTAGCGTGGCTGGCGCTCTTCGACGCCACGGTCAGCGGATAAACCAGTGCTTGAGGATGCGTTTTCCCAATGTCTATCAAAAGATGATGTATGCATCTGCCGACCAAAGCTCTAGGCGTGTCTATTCTAGCGATGAGCTGCGGGATCACTTGCAGCCAGGTGTTGATCTCGATCAGACGGATACCCTCGACGATGGCCTCGTACACTTCTGGCCATTGGCCGTAATCAAACCACAAGGTCAACAAACGGAGCGTATCTTGCAAGGAGTTACCGTGCGAAAGATTGATAGATTTGAAGAATCCTTCGACCGCTCGCACGGTGAATCGAGATATGCGCTGCGAATTAAAAATACTCTCGCGAGTCCCATTGGCTGGAACGCTCTCGTTGTTCGAGTCGCCCTGTTGATGCTTATAAAATAAGACTGTCTCGTAATTCGTGTACGCGAAAGCATGCCACGCCTTGTACCAAGTGGGGTCGTTTTCCCTAGCTGCAGCGTAATAAGACAATACTTCCGGGATCGAATCTTCGTTTATGCCCTGCAAAGCTTCCAACCACTCTCCGAGCTTCAGGTAACACCTGGCGAGCAGCCTTTTCCTCATCTCTTTTATTTCTTGCTGTTTCTGCTCCTCTGGAGGCACGTAGTGCAGGGTCGTCGGTAGCAAAGAACACTGTACAAAATTTAGCAGCTGATCATACGCCTCCTCTCGTTTGTTCGCCACCCACATGTGCTTGCAATAGGCGAACGTCACCTCAGGGTGAGTAGTGGGTAGATACTCCTCATCAGGAGTCAACGAAGGATCCGTTCCAAGCAGCATGACCAACGTTTTGTGACACAGCATCAGGCTACCGCTTTTTCTGCAAAGACTAGCATACTTCAGCCACGTGTACATGTCGTCCTGGGGCGAAACCACCAGCGTGCGAACCTGTATGATCTTCTGCCAATCCTCGACTATTCTCTGCCCACCCTGAAGCCTTTCCCACCACATAGACTTAATGGTGGATCTTCTTTCTGGCACCAATTTGAATTGTATCACCTCCTCTAACTCTGCCAACTTCTGGACCTCCACCATGGCGTTGTAAGCCCTCTGGTAACTCTCACCGGCCATGGCGGTTAATTCTGTGTCCAGCAAATCTCTGGCACTGTCAATGAGCTGATGAGCGATGTCGTACTGTTCATCGTGAATTGCCAAAACGGCTCTGTAAAATGCGCCGTCCTGTGTGTCCTTTGGTATCAAGGAGACGTACTTCTCCATACTCTCCCACTGGTTCAAACCCCACGCTGCCGCCGCCGCCATTCTAGCCATTCTCTGCTTGGTCTCGTCGGTCTGATGCGACCATTGCTTCGTGGCAACGTCATGCAACTGTCCCCATTCGCCAAGAGCCTCCAAGCAACGCATCTCGCCAAGAGTCGACTCCACGTCTGTACAGTCGCACTCCAACCTTTCTCTGTACAACTGCAAAGCTTTGTCCCAGTTGTGCAGCTTCTCGTACCAACGTACCTGCACCTTTAGATCTTGTTGATTGTTCTGGTTCATAACGTACTCGAGGAGGCCTTCTGCAGCTTCTTTCTGTTGAAGCTTGTTGTTGATAGAGATCAACGATTCAAAAACGTTGCTGTTCCTGCTCTTGTGAAACTCGTCCTCCTTGTAGTGGAGCGCCTTCGCGTAAGCTCGGCAGTGCATCGCCCTCTCGCCCAGGATTTTGTTGTCCAGCGGCAACGGCCCCTTGTCGCAGTGCTCCATGAACTCAGCCAAGTTCAAGATTGTCTGCGTGATCTCGGGAAGGTCGGGGACCATCAACGCCTGTTGCAACGTTTGGATCAGCTCTGCCTTGTATGTGTCGTCCAGCTCGGTCCAGCAGGAAACGAAAGCGGCGTTGAACAGGTCTCTGGGTAATTGAGAGTAGGTCTGCGCGAGGGCCCAGCACGATCTCAACGCCGGCGACGGCGACTCTTTCAGCAGACCGATCGACAAACTTCTCAGCCATTCCAGCCAATCGTCCTTCGACACCCTCCTCGTCGCTGTCCAGGCTTTCTGAAGATTCGACGCGGACACGTGCAACCGTTTGATAGTGGTCGTGTCGGACGACGTCAACGACAAGTCGCGGTTCTTGTTCCTGGCGTGTCGGTGTCTCATCAAGAGGTAATCCTCGCCGTCGGCGACGGTGGTCTCTGTCAAAATTTTGTCAATTAGAACGTCGTAACGGGAGTTGACGATCTTGTGCTTCGTCATCACTTTCTGCACCAGCAGGATAAAGATCTGATACTTTTTCCCCAGTTGTATCACCAACGCGCACAGCGTGTCCATCGCCGTGTTACGCAGCTCCGGGCACTGGTCCAGCGTCCGTACCAACGGGTGTACGATCCTGGACGCAAAGTCCGTGAAATCTAGCGTGTCTGCCAGATGGTCGACAGTCTCGAGTGCCACTTTGTTCACGGTTATCGAGCAATCGGTGGCGTGGAAGAACTTGACGATCGGCGGCAGGACCAGGTGAAGGTAATTGTCCAGATTGTTGCCAAACTTCTGCAGCGCCTGGAGAAGCTTCACCGTCACCCATCTGTCCTTGCTGGTGTCGTGCGTCAGTACTCTCAGTATCTGGGGCATCAGCTGCGGCAGGTAAATTTTAAACTCAGCGCCCAGTGCAACGGCGATGTGCTCCACCAGAAGTATCAGCGTGCTCTGCAACGGGCTGTTCACCGTCCAGAATTCCTTGATCAGGTTGAATATGTCGTCCAGGTAGTTCCTAATGTGCTGCTTCACGATGGCGATGAGGACGGCCAATTGTTGGAACAGGTACTCCCGGAAGTTAACGTCCGCCGTGCGGACCACGTTGAGGAAGCTGGGCATTACCTGCGAGATGTACGGAACGCATTTAATCCCTAAACTTTTGAATATAAAAGTCACCGCTTGAACGACCATCGTGTGGTGCTGGGACAACGTCGGGTCGCGAATGATCCTCATGAGCGTCGCGATGGCGATCGCCGGGTAATATTCCTCCAACGTCGACGATGACATGTTCACCAGCATCTCGCTGGTAGTCAAGTCCTGCGTGTTCTCGGTTTCACCTTTGGTATCAGCCATGGAAGTGAGGGTGTCCAACTGCGAGTCGATCTGGCCAAGGTTCATCTTGTGTTTATACGGATCTAGGGCACCTAGCAGCCCCAGGACCCTTATCGTTTCTCTCCTGATGATCAGCTGTTGCTCCGTTTTCAAGAAATTGATCAACACGTCCAGCAACGAAGGGTACTGCATGTACGGCTTGACAACGTGCCCTGTGCTTCCCACCAGTTGGCCAAGCACCCACAGTGCTACTCCTCGTTTCTCCGGGGAACTGGCGTCGACCAGCATCTCCAGCAGTATGGAGAGAAGCTCGGGCATCCATTGTTGCATCTCGGCGCCATTCACTTCCGCCAGATCGCCGATGGCGCGCAGTATTGCCAGTATCACGCCAGGATTCGACTCCGGTTCCTTCAATTTCGGCACCAGGACCTTCAATATCGGCTCCATGTACGGCCGGATGAGCCTCGGCGCGCTGACGACCAAATGATCCAGCATACGCGCCGCTTGTTCTTTGTTGCGGCCCATACCCGAGTGCTCCAACTCCGTGAGGAATTGTATGAGGGTCTTGCGAAGGGAGGGCATCACGTACGCCGGGTTCATCGTGCTCAGTCGTCCAATCGTGCGGATCGCCAGCTCCCTGATCTCGAACATCTCGTCGTTCATCGCGATGAACAGCGCAGAGAGGTTCTCCGCTTGTGCCAGATGAATGTCGAACGAATCGTCCAAGGAAGCCAGCACCCAGAGTCTCACGTCGGGATCCGTGTCCGTTATGCCAACGACCAACAACTTCCCAAGGACGGTGGAGACGGTGTTGGTCACCGTGGGCCCAGGTTGATTCAACGCCAACCGTAGCAGCCGCGAACACGTTCTCACAGCCTCCAGTCGAACCTCCGCCTGCTCAGACGTGAGGAAATGATCGGCGCACCGTCTTACAAACTGCAAGAGCGGGTTGCCGTCGAAGTTGAACGTTCCAAGAGTCTTCAGCGCTAGAACCGTGGATGGAATATCTACTTCGGTGGGAGGTCCGGAGATGGGGCTGCTCGCGGTCCATGGTGCGCCAGGATGTCTCAGAGGTTTCTGCATCAAAACCTGGGAGAGCATTCGCAGAAGTCCTTGAGATATGTCAGGCTTCAACGACGGTACGCTGTGTGCCAGTTCCCTGAGAGACGTCGTCAGAATGGGGCTCAGTCCAGTCTGCAACATAGACTCTAGCAAATCCCTCACATCCGCGGCTATTACCTGTTTCACCGCGTGTCCCAGCAAAGTTATGCAAACGAACACCGCGGGCTCCAACGACGCGCCGCGCTTTTTGGCGGAGGTCTCCTTGGAAGGTAGCAAACTTTTGATCACTTCCATGATCTTGGAAAGGTAAGGATTTATCGAATCTTCCACTGCGACTGCTATGAGACCGATGGTGGTGAACGCGGCGTATCGATCCTTCTCTCTGCTGCGCAAGGTCATCAGAAGATAAGCCAATGACTCCCTCAAATGATCCTTCGTGAACTTCTCTTTGTTGAATGCTGCAAGCCTTGGCAACAACATCATGAGAGCGTGTTGGATATGCGGATTCCTGGACATTCTCTGGTTCATCACGTCGTTGTATATGTCGTCCAATCTTTCCTGCATCAGGCACCGACACACGGCGGACTCGTGAGACGGGTACAATGTCTGTTGCGAATTGGTGGAGCTTTGCGATGAGCTGGACCATTTGGACACTATCGTCGTTTTCAATCGCGGCATCAGCGACAATATGTCGTTCTCGTTCTGCTGGTTGGAACAGTTCAATCGTTCCATCAATGTCTCGTAATTCCTCTCCCATTGAATGTTGCTGCACCTCAGCAACTCGTTCAGCACCAACAGCGAGCCGTGTATCTTATCGTCCCTGTTCACCCCCCTTTCCCTAGTGTACACTTCCTCGAATCCCGATACTATCTCGTCGTAGCACTGCTTGTACCACTGCGATTTGTGCATTTGCTTCGCTGTTTCCCTCTGGGCAGTGACGATCAAGGCAGCCCTTAACGCCTCTACGGCCCCTTCTCTTATCACAGGTTTCGTGTCGCGTATCGCATTGAATATGAGCTCGAAGAACGGCGTCACTTGCTGAAAGAAATATGTGGGCATGGAAACGGCGAGCTCTCTGAGAACCAGAACAGCCGCGTGTCGTTTGCCCTCGTGCCTGTCGCCACCTAGCCACTCGAAGGCACGCTTCACCTCGAATTCCACATACTCTGCCGTGTAAGTACCTGAAACCAACGCCAGTTTGCCCACCGTTTTGGCAGCCAACTCCATAACACCCACATCGTTGGAAGGCAACAAGTTTCTCAGATAATTGGCGAATCTGATAGTTCTTGTATTAAAGTTGCCAACGTCGGCTCCGATGAGGCAAACTATGGCTAGAATTCCACCCTTCTTCTCGTTCACATCAGACCCGGACACCATCTCGAATATATGGTGATTAAACTCGTCCATGAAGGCTGTGATCTCCTCCTGCGACGCCTCGCGCAGCTCCGTTTTAACATAGAGGCACAGGTCCCTCGCCGCTTTGTTCCGTGCCTCTTCATTTCTGGACTTGAGCCTCTGGACAAACTGCTGCACCAGCGTGCTCGACATTGTCGTGAACTTACCGATATCGATTCTGCAACGGTGCTCTCGTGTATATCCTCGCGACGATATCTGAAAATGATAAGAGATACGGAAGCTTTCGAACGTTTCTCGGGAGGGAGAGGGAGAGAGAGGTTATGGTTACACCGTAAAGTGGCGTTATCTTTTACATACCTATTTGACATCACACGAATTTTGTGTCACGGTACACCGCTCTCATGACTATCCAGAACTCCTTGATATTCCTCAGTGAGCGCAGTTCAATTTCCCTTCAATCGCATTATTAGCGCACGTCTGTCATCATATATCCTTCATGTTTTGATGCGCACCGATTTATGAGGAATAGACGAACCGCGAGCGAGAAACTCGTGTATCGTGTACACACGGGTTAGGCGAGTTTCGCTGCCATCGATTGCTCAGAGAACGTGCAACGAACACAAAGAGAAACAACAAGAGACAACGTACACCTCAAGTGAACTATCTGAAGTTTATAACCTCAACATTGGTTAACGCAGAATGCTCGGGTAAATTGTGCGCTTCGGGACGTTTCCCTCCCCACTCCTTTTATTTTCTCCCTCCTAATTTACTACGTATTTTAATTCTAGCGTTGTAACCTTGAAACTGAAAACGAACAGGCTGAGTTTTAAAATTATTCGGCGTATTTTTATGATAAACTTTTTATAATAAATAAATATTTTGCTAATGAGTATTAATAAATTGTGTTAATATTATAAATTATATCATATCGCGTTATATTATCGATGTTATTAACAATATTAATTATATTTATTAATAATACATTATGTTAATATTATATTTGTTATAATATTTATTATATTGTGTTAATTATATTTACTAATAATATTATATTATGTTAATGTGAATATTCATATTATATTATGTGAATATTCATTAATTTTAATATTTATTTATGAAAGTAAAAAAACACTTGATAAATAATTTTAAAAGTTGCGAGAAAGCTAAGTTAAATTAAATTAATTAACAACACTGAATTTATTAGTCAATTTCGATTTTTATTTCCTTTTTCTTTTCTCATAGCTCACGACCAATACAAATCAGTGTTACAAAGTTTCAAAAAAATTTAATATTCCTTTAAAAAAAACTTAAATTTTATGAAACCTTATGAAATCAAATTTCGAAGGTCTATCTTAGTGATATAATATACTTTATTATTATATTACTAATATTATATTATTATATTATACTACTAATATTATATTATTCTACTAATATTATATTATTATACTACTATCTTAGTAATATAATATTTTACATATGAACTAAGAATTATGCTCATGCACGAGCATCATAAAAAATAAATTAATATATCCACGCTGAATCACGATGTAAACGTAAACCGTGCATTCGTAGTTCATTCATTGCCCATCAAGTCGCGTAACTGCAGGATCGAAGTCACGTATGCGACTGTAGTTTTATAAATATGTATTAGAAAATAATTCGGGTACGAGTTTTTGATACTGCGATACATTCGTTTTGAATGTGTCACGATCCTCTTAACATTATCAACGATGAGACACTAGTTCTAATGACTTTCAGTTTTGTGAATTCGCTTAGTTCATAAACCTAGATTGAGAGAAAAAGATGGTACCGCTTTGGAGGTTATGTACGAGAGGCATCAGCTCGCAAAGGATCGGATTTCGCAGGTCAACGGTCGCGTATGGAGAGCTGTTTTACGCATGTTTAACGCCGGCAGTCAAGTTTAACAGAAAAGCGCCTGTATTTTCGATTTTAAGATCCCGAGCGACGAATGCTGTAGACAGTAGAAGCTTGGAGCCCGCGGCACGATCTATCAAATCGAAGAGGAGAAAAACGTCGGAGTTGAAGAATCTGATCGTACTGGCGGTACCTGAGAAACGGAGGTTGTTTGGCGCGATTGTATTCTTGTTAATTTCGTCTACCATAACGATGGCAGTGCCGTTCTCTTTAGGGAAACTGATCGACACCATCTACGCGAGCGACAAAGAAAACATGAAGGACAATCTCAATCGGTTGTGCGTTGTATTGCTCGGGATATTTGTCACCGGGGCTCTGTGCAACTTCTGCAGGATATATCTGATGTCCACTGCCGGACACAGGATCACACAGTCTTTGCGAAAACAGTTGTATGCTGCTATTCTTCGCCAGGAAATAGCAGTTTTTGACAAATGCAACACAGGGGAATTTGTTGGCCGATTATCCGGTACAAATAACTAGACTTCAACAGTCTTTTGTACATATACCTCTATAATTTTTCATACGGTTCATTGATTTCAGGTGACACGCAACTTGTTAGCCAAGCATTGACGAGCAATATATCAGATGGATTACGTTCCACCTTCATGAGTATTTGTGGAATATCTATGATGCTCTATGCCTCGCCTAAACTGGCTGTAGTTAGTCTGACTGTTGTACCACCAATGGCGGGTTTAGCCATAGTGTGGGGCCGCTATTTAAAGAAGATCTCCAAGGACATGCAAAACAATTTAGCGGAATTGAACACAATCGCCGAAGAGAGAATTAGCAACATAAGAACAGTGAAAGCTTTCTCGAAAGAAATAAAAGAGTCAGATCATTACAATTCCCAACTGGACAACGTGCTTAAAATTTGTTATAAAGAAAGTTTATACAGAGGAATATTCTTTGGGCTAACTGGTTTCTCCGGGAACGTGATCATCCTGTCTGTTTTGTACTACGGCGGAGCCATGGTTTCCGATTCCTCCCTTACAATCGGAAGTTTAAGCGCGTTCTTAATGTACGCCGCGTACGTTGCAATCTCTTTAAATGGCTTGTCTTCGTTTTATAGCGATTTGAACAAAGCGTTGGGTGCAAATATGCGTTTAGTCGAATTGATCGAAAGAGAGCCGGTAATACCAATTCAAGGTGGTAAAATTCTGGAAAAGCAGCTGTCAGGTGATATTGAATTTCAAAATGTCAGTTTCGCTTATCCTACAAGAGGGAATACATGGGTTTTGAAAAATTTCAGTTTAAAAATCCCACCATGTACGGTAATTGCTATCGTTGGAGCATCAGGTTCCGGAAAATCCACAATAGCTTCACTCTTGTTGAGACTTTACGATCCCAATTTAGGATCTGTACTTTTAGACAATAATGATCTTCAGTCTCTTGACCCAGTGTGGGTGAGATCGCAGATCGGTATTGTTTCTCAGGAACCTACGCTCTTTAGTGGTACAATAAGAGAGAATATATTATATGGAGCAATGGATCCAGTGAAATACGATGTAGAAGAAGTTGCAAGACATGCGCACGTTTTAGAATTTACAAAAAACATGCCAGATGGTTTAGACACAGTGGTTGGGGAACGGGGTATTACTCTCAGTGGTGGACAAAGGCAAAGAGTTGCTATTGCTAGGGCTTTGATAAAGGTAAATGCATTGTTGAAGTAAAATCCATCTAATAGAATTTAGTAATTTGAAACTGTTTATGTTTAGGAGCCTAAAATCTTAATCCTGGACGAGGCAACGAGTGCATTAGATGCGGAAAGCGAACATTATGTACAAGAAGCTTTGGAAAAAGCTGTTCAAGGGCGGACAGTTCTAACCATAGCTCACAGATTAAGCACAATAAAAAATGCAGATAAAGTCGTTGTTTTAAAAGAGGGACAAGTAACAGAAACTGGAACTTATAAAGAACTTGTGAGCTTAAAAGATAGTTACTTTCATAAATTAGTTCAACATCAAACCTTTGCTTAAATTTTAGAATTTAACGATAATCGTATTGATGATTGATTAATTATTGAATCAATGGTCGGTGTATTTAAAAAATTGTATATATAAATTGTTCAATAAACCAGAAAAGTTTAAAACAAATTAAGAAATATCTGATAATATATAAAAATAATGTACAGAGGTCAGTGAAAATATCATTTGTAATAAATAATTAATAAATTTATTGATTTAATTTCTGATATACAATGTTTTATTCTGTAATTATGGTTTTCAAGTATTCATCTATATCATGTGCTATTTCATATGAAATTTGGAAGTGTCATAATTAATAAAATAAATAATTTTTGCAAAAACTTTTTATCAGACAAATTAAAAATTTTAGAAGTGAAATTTGATACATATGTTATGTTTAATCAATTTGTGAAATACATAAACACTTATTACAAGCTGTGATTTGATATAGAAATCACAGAATTAAATCTTTTTTATCTAAGTAAGTCGGATGTTTCCAAATGGTAATAATTTTGAATATATTTTCTATAAAATAATATACACTGCTATTTTAAGTTATATCAATGTCTTATATCATTGACCTAAGTTGTCTTTAAATTAATGTACTGTTATAATTACTTTTAAGATGATCTATCTCTAGGTTTGTGTTTGCATAAAAATATTCAATAAAAACATATGACCAGAAGCAAATATAATTAAACTAGGCTGATCTTTAAATTACTCAAGCCTATTTAATGGAATCTCCATTTCAGAAGAAAAAGGAGTGTTGCATTGTTTCTATTTTTTTTTTTTTTTTGCTATTATATTCTATTAGAAAATAAAGCAAGACATAAAGAGAGCAATACTATTCCTTTCTCTAACTAGAAAAAACAAACTTTTCATTCTTCTCTATCTCAGAGATGTGTATAACAAAAGCATCCTTTTTTTATCAATTATAACTTGAACCACTGAATGGAATCAATGATTAATACAATTGGAACAATCATAAATTTCAGTCATCGTAAGTATTAATTTTAAAAACCAAGTAATGTTTTATATTGTCAATTACTTCACAATTAATCAAATTTTAAAATATTTGTTTAAAACCAGTAATCAATTTAATTCACAATGGGTTGGATCTATGCTCCCTATTTTTTTCAGTAAAATACATAAAGCATCAGAATGTACGTTTAAAATGCTTCTCTGTTTATATCACATGTTATATTTGTTATAAGCCATGTAAAAACTTCATATGCTTCAGTTATAAACACAGCCATGTTCTACATAGAAACTTTGTCTGCATAAATTTATTGTGAAATTTGTTCATAAACTAATTTGAGATAAAATCCAAACCATGGTCAAAACTGGTCATTAACATTACAATGTTCTGGAAGTAGGCAGTGTCTTGCTTTCTACAGAAGCTTAAAAGTTCAAGGTAACAAGTCTCTGTACAATACCAAAATTTACCTGATTTAATGGTAATTACGAAGTTAATGAAACAGTAAACAACAGATGCTTAGAGAATTCCTTGTAAATCTTACAATATGTCTTATATATCAAATAAAGGAATTCATATACAAATTATGTTCGAATTACAATAAAAATTTTTCTAGTATAAACAAACTCTATTTTTCCAGTATTTGTTCTTCTTTATGTTTTCTGCTATAATAAGAATCAAATATTAAAAAAAAAAGAAGAAGAATGAAAAGAACCATCTTCTTACATTTTATTAACTTCTAGATGATTGTACTGCTTCTTGCTCCATAGGTTCATCATCTTGCTGAAACACTGATAATGTTTCTTCTTCATCTATTTCCATTAACTCCATTGCCTCTTGTTCTTTCTTAGTTGTGACATTTTCTATCATTGCGTCACTATCGTCTATCTTATTTATGGTGGAAGTTATGTTGTTACCTTGTAATTGTGCTAAATTATTATCTTCAGTAGATTTCTTTTTGCTTTCCGACTGACATGTTATCGACACGTTATTTGGATTTTCCGAATCTTCTGTTATCTCGACAATTGGCGAGATATCTTCTTTTATATTAACAGATTCTGTGTCTTTCGGTTCTTCAACGATAGCAATTGGATCAGGTACTATGGAATTTACCACTCTGTTCTCATCTTCTGCAGTTTCTGTTATGGTTAAGTTACTTTTCTCTTGATTACAATTAAAATTTTTTGTTGCATTAGGACATGGCTCTTCTACCAAAGGTTTTGAATCCACCACTAACTCTGTCTCCTTACTTTGATCTTTCAGATTCTCTACATCTACCGACATATCCTCTGATGTACTTATAGTTCCCTCTGTACTAACGTTATCGGCAGGTAAAATTAAATTATGTGTAGACTGTTCTGAACTGTTTGTCACAGACGTGCTTCCGACGCTCGTACTTTCTAAAGCTAGCGATTCCTTACTAAAACCAGACGTATCAATGATTGATTGAATGTTCTCTACTTCTGTACCTAACTTTATCGCGCTCTCTAAATTTTCATTATTATTTAAAAGACTTTCAACAACCGGATTAACAGGTTCCTTATTGTCCAACGCTGCTTTCAATTCGACATCCGACTTAACCAGTACATCATTACTTTTACTTGATTCATCCTGCATTTGTATCGTCATCGCCTCAACCTCAGATTTCTCATTTACCTTGGAATTATCTACATAAAACTTTGTCGATTTACTCTCATTCGAGCTAAAATCTTTAGTCTGGAAGGTAGTCTGCAATTTCCTCGAAGTGTCCACAGAGTCCCCTCCTTCATTCTCCAATTCCAAACTAGGTTGAGAACTGGTGTCCTCATTCATAATTGCTTCTGAAACGTCGCCAATGATTCCAGACGTTTCAGGAACGATGGTTGACAGATTCTGTATCGTGGGTCCTATTTGTGAGTCTTGGGCTTGAGACTGGGAGTTCAGGCCTGAGACACCAGAGAATTCCGAAGTGGTTGGTATGAAACTGGATACTACAATGTCCGACTTGGAGGATGTTGACTCCGCCTTGTCGTGGGACAGTTCCTCAGCGGTAAACACATTCTTTACTACGGTGCTGGTTGGTACGACAGTGTGCAACAATGGTGTTTCATTCTCAACAGTGTGTACGCTGATTGTAACAGTAGATGGACAGTCCTTCTCCCAGTATTCCATCTCGACATCTTGAGGTGGTTGCGTCACAGATGCATCCTCGTCCACAGACCCGTTGACCATCCCGTTGTCGCCGTTCTCGTTCCTTCTGGATATCGGCCCGGGCTCCCTGGTGGAAACAACCAAAATGTTCTTCTCGATGGCTCTCATGAACTTGTCGACTCTGTTGTACTCCTTTCGGGGAGCCGTCAACAGCTCGCAGATTCGTTGAACAGTGAATGGAGCGTTGGCGAATGACTCGAGCCGCTCGAGTAGATTGCTCTTCATCGTATCGTAGTTGAAATGCTCGACGTTCGGACACGGGGGTGCGAGGTCAAGCGTCGGGCAGCTCTCGTAGAATTCGGTCATCACGCGTGTCAGTTTCTCCCTGAACAACGTTTTGATCAGCGACCACTGGTAGACCGGATCGCCGGTTTTCGCCACCCAACATAGGTAATCCTCGAGCTCACGCGGTATCTCGCTCGGCCGCATCTTCTGAAACTCGTCGAGCGCCTGCAACACTTCCTCTAGATTATCCATCGTTCGTCACCGCCTGCGCTTCACCCCCGCCGCCTTCGGGTTTGCTGGACCGAACTGGTCTCTCCCACGTTAGACGATCACGAACGTTCGATTGGCAAAAACTGCACGCGGTGGAAAAGCTTTGCGCAGGGGGCGAACGTAAAAACGCAAACACACCGGGTACTAAATAGCAACAATGAAGGGCAGGGGACGAAGCAGGGCTACCAATACTGCAAAAACGTGTCAACGTTGACAGCGTTTTTTGGTTAGTTTTCGCTCGCCATCGTCTCTTTTAGTTACAATTCGTCGTTTCAACAAATGCGTTTAATTCAATGTGATGTCTGCGATAACGTTTGAGATAATACGACGTCATGGTCTACGAGTATGTTTCACGTGAAATTTACATCGATGGAAAATAAAATACACGTATCTCCATCGCTATAAATACTTCATATATACATACATGCATATATATATATATATATATATATATTTATATATGTATGTATGTATAAAAACAATATCTAACAAATGAGTAGAAATAAAATGACAATAATTGTTGTAAACAATATAAATAAAAAATCAGACTCTTGAGCAATGGTACACTGATATAATATATATGGGTAACAGTACATTAATGAACTTACAGTTTGAAATGTCTTTATAAATTATTGTATTTAGCAGTAACATACGATCAAATAAATATCATATTCATTTATGAAACGAAAATATAGGTTTCAAATTATTAGAGATCATATATATACACACACACACATATGTATGTATATGTATATATATTGCATAAATTTATTTCAACATTATCTTAAGATTTAAAACTTTGATTGAATATTAAGATTTTATAACATGTTAATGTGCAAGTTATCATAATTGTAGAATAAGCAATAATATATATGGCTTAATACTTTTCTTCTTTTTCTTCACATTTTGTAGCACACTGTGTTTCTTTAATAATCATATAACAAACAAATACGATTATTTAAGAATAACTGTGCGTTTGAAAGTTTTGAAACAATGTTTGCTCTTATGTTAATCTACTTGAGAACTGAAGTTCTCCGCGAGAAGATTAATCTTGTTAATGTAAGGACGATTTCAAATATGTTAATAACAACTGATTGAACGATGTATATTTTTTTCAAATGCACAATTAATTAATCAATTAATAATGTAATACGATATATATACAAGCGTATTTTGAAAATGAACAGAAACTTTTTTACAAATTAACTACATACTTACAGAATTTAACTTAATAGATCTTATGTTACAGAATAAATAAAATATTTTTCTATCATAATAGTATAACACAAATATTTAATTAAGAAACTACAGAAATAGAGTTGATGAAAGATACAATTTTGTTTAGTAGACAATTATTCCAAATTACTGAAATATGTTATAGAATAGTAATTTAAAGACATATGTTCATCAGATTTCAATATACAGAAAAACAACTTATATAATCTAGACATTTATAACTTCACTCCCAAAAGTATTTTGATATAATTTTGTAGTTATTAAATAATGTTATAAATTATAAAACAAGTAACAAAGCTAGTTTTGCATAAATATCTTTAACTAAAAATTCCTGTACCTACGTATGTTGCATACAAGTCTTTTTAAAATATTGAAACTCTATAGTATGTTTAGTAAATGTGCACAATTTGAGAAAGTTGGTGGTCAATTAAATTGTAATGTACACTGCCCTATGGAAAAACATTTTTGAATGTGACAAACTTATAATATGTATACATGTGCATATTAAGAACTTGTTAAGATTGAAGACTTAATAACGATCATAATTTCACCCTACACAGTTTTGTTACTTACAACTATCCAATTTAGTATTAATAATAAATTCATCGAGTCAAATTAATATTACTGTAAAATTGTTCTCTAATATCTTTTCTTTCTATAAACTTCGACAATTTAAACATCAACCACCATCTTCTTATGAATGTCTGTATTACCAACAACCTGAAATTGCACATAAACAAGGATTTTACATTACTAGAGTCATTTCCAGATGTCTGACTAACAGAAATGTCTTACTTACAGAACAAAACTCTTCGAAACTGATTTTCCCATCTTCATCCTTGTCAGCGAACAATATCGTCTTATCAACGATCTGTTGAAGTTGAGTATCCTTCAAATTGTTCCCTACCATCATTTTTAGTACTTGGAACAGTTCTCCGTTGCTTATGAAACCATCGTTGTCCATATCATAGATCCTAAATGCGAATCTCAATTTACTTTCCTTGTCACCCTGGAAAAAAGGATAGAGGTGTTATCGTAGAATGCGTTGTTTGCATCTGCTAATATTTATATGTACCTTAACGCTGAACTGAGAGACACCGTGAATAAATTCCTTGAAATCTACTTCTCCATTGCCGTCGGCATCGAATATATCTATGACACGCTGCACCAGAGGATTCTGTTGCAATTCTGGCAATGACATGAACTCGTCGATGCTCAAAGCACCACTGTTATCCAAATCTAACTTCCGAAACCGTTTTCCCAGTCTCCTAATTTCATCAACGTCGACTAAAAAACAAATATCTCTACGTGAAGAAGTAACAAAAGACCTATGTGAAGATAATGTTTTTTATTAATATAAATGCGCGCGCGCACGTGCGTGTGTGTATATGTACGTGCACACATGTGTATCAATAAATATAGTAGTTGGTACATCGCTAAAGTGCTATGTTTAGTCGGAGATAAAAATAAGTCAGGAGCAATATGCAAACGAAAAGAAAAAAAAATTTTAATAAAACAAAAAAAAAGAAGAGGTTACCTTCGACACGATTTCGGATTAAACTTTTCAAATACAAACTCGACGTAATTTCGCAACACCGCGCGGACTGTTAGTAAAGTAAATTTTTATTTTGAACGAAGAGTATACTTGACAGAGTGAAACAGGTTATTTCAACGTAATAGGAATAATACTCGATATCGACTTACAATTAGAACACAGTTCCATAGGCAGCGAGCTTTCGTTACCCTGAAAGGAGAATACATGAGAAAAACGTATGCATTGTAGTAAGAAAAATGAAAAAGGGAAACTTATTTATAGGATTTTAAAGACAACTACATATTTTCTTTGATGAAAACAAACGTGAAACCGATTGTGCACGATATAGCATATTGTCCCAACTGTTTACACGAATGCAAGTAATATTTGATGCGCTTAATTACCATTGTGACACTCGGGTTGATAGACTTCTGTCAAAAATTTACTACTAGTGTCAAAATTGATCAGCAGATACTGCTTTATCTTGATAGCTGGTAGAAAGTGTGAAAAGATAGAGAGGAAACTTCAGGTCGAGATATATGACCTATGAAAACATAAACATAAAAATTCCAGATAATCTATGAAAATTATATTAGCTTATTTGAAACTAAATAGCTTGCTTGTTGGTGTGTCATTGAAATTTTTTTTAATAAACGAGTCTTTACCTCGTAATTAATTTGAAAAATATCTTTTTTTGTGATTTTCAGTGATCTTATCAGTAGATGTCGCTTTGATCGATAAAGTTCCATTGAAAAATTTAAATCAAAAATGTCAGTTGGAAGTTGAAAGCGGCTAGTGGACTGTTGATAAATATCTTCTGAATACCGGTGCTGTTGATCATTTTGTTGAAAAGCGTTATTTCACTTCAATTAATTTAAGCATTGTACGAATAACTCTTGTTTTGTTTCACAGGTAATACAGAATTGTTACAACATATAAATTTGCATAACGTGAAACGTCAAATAACTGCATAACAAAACTTACCAAAAGAACGCTCTTAAATTTTCTAGATTGTCCATGACTTGTGATATTATGGCTCACGCAGAAGCATTCCAATGTCCGTCAAATATTCCATCCGATTACAAAGAAATTGTTTTTGACACCTTGTGTAAAATGAAAGACCATGTTGAAGCCAGAGGACCAAGGTATGGTGAACAAATCTTATTTCAATCAAAGTATTATATATTGCTCTCACACATTATTGTGGAAATAAAAGTAATTTCTTATCAGCTATCAGTGGAATTTGGATGATTTTGAAATTGGTGCGCCTTTAGGCAGAGGCAAATTCGGACGAGTTTATCTAGCCAGAGAGAGAACTACGCATTACATGGTCGCGTTAAAGACTTTGTACAAAGTGGAATTAATGAAAGGACGCGTGGAGAAGCAGGTGATGCGTGAAATTGAAATTCAAACGCATTTAAGGTAAACTTACTAACTTGAACCTCTTTTTTTTTCTTTAATTTTTACAATTAAAGATGAACCGTTACATGAAACTTTTCAGGCATCCACATATTCTACAAATGTTAACGTACTTCCACGATCATAAGCGTATTTATCTTGTATTAGAGTTCGCGGCTCGAGGGGAATTGTACAAGGAATTAAAGAGGCAACCAAATGAAAGATTCAATGAACATTTGTATGTACTTTTGGAACTAGCTTAGAGTTCAGGAAGAATTCTTCGTAATTGCTATTCTTTTTTCAGATCTGCTAAATACACTTATCAAGTAGCAGATGCTTTGGAATATTGTCACAGGAATAATGTCATTCACAGAGACATAAAACCGGAGAATTTATTACTTACATACGAGGGCAATGTAAAATTGGCGGACTTTGGATGGTCTGTTCATGCACCATCATCTAAGTAAGTGTATTTATGATAGTAAGCAATTATGATCAATAATTGTAGCAATATACTAGTGGAAATTGATCTAAAGTAAAGTTTATTAATAATAATAATTGCAGGAGGAACACATTATGTGGAACGTTAGATTACTTACCTCCAGAGATGGTAACGGGGCAAACGTATGATATATATGTTGATCATTGGTGTTTAGGCATTCTCTGTTACGAATTTCTTGTGGGTAAACCACCTTTCCTTAGCGATTCACAGCAAGAAACTTACGTGAAAATAAAGACGATAAATATACAATGGCCGGAGCAAATTACGCCGGGAGCTAAAGACTTAATATCACGGGTAATTATTCTTCTTGCACGTTGTAACTTTTTATTCTGAAAATATCACAAATTTCCCTTTAATTACAGCTAATTAAACGAAAAAGCTCGGAGAGAATTTCTATGGCTGCTGTAAAGAAACATTTTTGGATAGTAAAATACAAAGATTTACATTGATATAAAAGATATGAAAGATCATTTGAAGTGTTTTTATTATATGATAATTATTATTGAGGTAATATATATATAATTTTTACAAATAGGGACATAAAAATATTTCAGATACTAAAAAAAAAAATCAATTTAAACTTTTATGGCCAGTTTAAATTGATCCCCGTCACATCCAACGCGACTATATCGGTCTCGACGTTAAGAATGTCGCACAAGCTTGGTTTAGTTCGACCAAAATCTCCGTGCACAAATTCCTTTATGTATGTCCCCGCTTGCGTTTTAATATCTAGCACGAAAAATGTGCTAGTATTGTCGGTAATGTTCAGCTTCTTTAATTCCTGAAGTTCAACCCAGCGAGCTTTCATTTCATATATCAACCGTTCCCTGGGACTTAAAGGTCGCCGATGCAACACTCTCACTGGCGTTTTCTGGACTATCTTCACGCGTTTTAAATTATTTAATTTTTCAAGAGACAACATATCTCTAGATGCGTTACGGCAGATGCAAAGCGCTCGATAAAATTTCGTTTTAACGTTCTCCCCTTCTTTCAACCTTTTCAGATCATGCCTAGATAAAACTTTTAAGCTTGATGTGATTTGTACTTGCCACGAGGATTGATTAATTTTCTCAACTAAATCTGACAATAGCTCCTCTGTTATCTTGGTCATTTGAGGATTAATTAATTCGATTGCGAATGGTCTTCCATTATAAATATTTCTAACATCTACGTCTTCTCTTCCAGATGACAAGAACTTAATAGCTAAAAACGAAAAAATGGCGTTGACAATTTCGACGAAAATTAACTGTTGCTATTAAAAGTTCTTACTTACACTGAGCTTTTGTTACTTCAATGATAGGAGTACACAATATATCTTGAACAGACGTCTGCATCTTTTTCTCACCGTTTATAAACCATGGAGTTTGACTGAGTTCCCTAGATAATTTATTATACCGCCCTGAAGTCACAATACGTTTAACAAACTGTTATTGTAACAGTTAAATTATAACAAACTGTTATTGTAACAGTTAAATTATAACAAACTGTTATTGTAACAGTTAAATTATAACAAACTGTTATTATAACAGTCAAACAGAGAATATTACCTCCTATGAAAATACTCGAATGCGAGCAAATAATGTTTTCCACATCGACAGTGGCAAACTTTTCAAATGACACATATTTGAAGTACTCGAAAAATTCATTGTCTGTTAATTTGGCCATCAGAGCCTCCATACTTTTTCTACTAAATCTATTGTCATAACTTCTTTTTTTCCGTTTACTTTCTATGTTGTTTGTCTCTTTAGACGACAATCTAAAAAAAAAGAAAAGGAGGTTCCATTGTGAACTGAAATAAAGTAGCTTTGCAAGTAAATTAATCCCAGAAACTTACAACACTTCACACTCTTTTTTGTTAAATTTGTACGTTAAAATAATTTCAATTAAAAACGGAGAAGGTGTTGTTGAATCCATCTGCTTTTCAATAGCCTGCCCTATTTTAGGGGTCACCATCCATTTCCAAATATCTTTAACGTTCTGCAATCTGATTTTAAGATCTAGCAACGCATCCTCTGAAAGATTAAGTTGGGTAGCGCAGTGTATACATAAGAAACGTTCTCTGAGATTGACGCATACTGGTATTGTCAACGCACATACAAACGTTCTGCAGTCGTAATTCTCTTTGTCCACCTTAACGCGAATCTGTTTGTAAAAATTATTTAAAACTTATATAAAACATCTGTGTACATTTCAAGCCAGATACTTCAACATACTTTTTCAATGATTTGTTCTTGTACATCTTTCTGGAGAATCCCCAAACAAGCCATGCAACAGATCTTTCTGAAACTAGTATCATTTGCTTCAATATATCCAGCCTGTAAAAAAAATTTATTCTATTACATCGTTCAAACGTTCAAAAATTGTAAATATCTAAAACTTACGGCCTTTGCAAATTTAATAGGGTTCAAGTAGCACTCCGGTGTACGGCATCCAATGAAACGGAAACAACATCTTAAGCAACAATTCTGCCGTTGCATGAAATTGAAAATACGTTTGTCATATTCCGTACAAACGTTCATTTTTACACAAGATTCTGCGACCTACTATGCCAATGTTAGTACAGTGTTTCCGATTACTGTTTACGTTAGCCTGCTGAACATATGATTGCATACGTATTTGGAAACTTACAATAGTCGAGAATTGAAATAAAAATTTACTTACGCGCAAATTAAATGTGAATTACTTACGATAGTTTATCGGAATTGGAGGAAAAAATCGAAGTATTTGCAACTACGAAATTATTAAACGCGGGGACGATCCGATGGCCGGCACAGGTTAAACGCATTGACACCTCTCTACCATTGACATCACTGAAAAGTACGATGAGTGTCGTCTGTTAACTAGTGTAAATAGTTGTAAATTTTTAGATTTTACTCCGTTGCAATCTGGTACCTGATTAATTTGTAGATATCGTAACAGTAGCATCTAACGTAATGCCCGTTCTAAGGAAAAAGTCTAGCAAAAAAGTAAACGCGGAGAACGGCAGTGGCAATTTGATTGGAGGTTAATCATTGTTTTACTATTATATTTCGAGAGACAATTTCGACACGATTTGACTCGCCGTTCGAAAGCGTTTTATCATCGCTGTATCTTTCTCTTCTTTTTTTTCTTATCGCAGATGTAACCATCGACGACTTTGCAAATTCATCACGGACGCACGGGAGATTTAAAAAGGCAATGATAAATGTCTCCTCCGAAGGTTACCTTTGTTAATACATTTCAATCAATCTTATGTTATGCCATTTCTATCTCTGTTACGAGAAGTCTCCTCTATTTCTTTGAACAGGCATAAACATTTAATGTAATCTTCTCATTCGATTCTGTGTTTACAGTGAAAGAGGCGACAACAAAGAAAGAAAGCTCTTGGGACGAAATGAATGAGAGTTTTCAGGAAAGTCTGGGCGATTCTAACAAATCAAAGAAACATACTAAGGGTAGATGATTCATATTTGGAAACGAGTGTCTCTTATTAATATTCAGACACTTGAACATTTAAGTTATTAGAATTTTGTAAAAGAAATCGTACAGCAATAAACCTGTGGGCTTGTTTCAAAGCTTGAAGAAACTTTGGCATCTGTTACATAGTGTGATAACTTAGAATAAAATGAATGATGCATTTTGAAAGTAGAGGCTTCAAGCTTTGAAATGTGCCCAAGTTTATCACTGGTGCAATATTTTTTTGCAAAATTATAACAGTTAAAATATTTAGTGTCTGAATATTGATAAAAATCACTCATATTTGTTTCATTTCATCTCTAGTTCTCATAAACTTACATTGTTTTTCACAGGTTCGTCAACAAATCAAAGAAGAAGAAAGAAGACAAATTCCTCTGAAGATGCTACGCAAGAAGAAGAAGGTAAAATACGAAGTGATAAAATTAAGAAGAGAATTTTTAAAAATTTCAAAGACTAGAGAATTTTTAATTTTTTAAATTATGCTTTTTATATTACCCAGGTATAGATTATCCATTGGATGTATGGTTCATTATATCCGAATATATTAGACCAGAGGCTGTGGGAAAATTTGCTCAAATATGTAGAAGTTCTTATCATGTGGTAACAACAGGGAAATTTTGGTTTCATTTGTACAAGACGTGAGTTTTTTTGTGGTAGAATATAACTCAAAATTATTAACTTGTAATTAAATTAAGTGAAATGTAATTCTAGGTACTACAGGTATGTTCCTGGTTTGCCAGAACGTCTACAACCACAATGTATGGTTCGTCTGCATGGACTTCGTGCTTGCGTCATTAGAACGTTACATTACACTTATTTTTCCTTAAACAAAAAGGATGATGATGTGTCTTACTTAAGACAAGACCAGCCACATTCGCTTGTAAAGAGGCAATGCTGTCTTATGTGGCATAAAGTATGCAACATAGAAACATACAAAGTATCATTTATTATCAAGTTTGATAATAATTAATTATCTATCAATTTAGGAGGGAAAATTGCGGTGGTATTTCTATTTCAAATTAAAGGAGTTGCCAAAAGCCAATAATAAGTCGTTGAAATTGAGAACGAAAATCAATGGCAAGAAGACAGATTTTCTTGAAATGTTGGAAGATGTAGCTGTGAATTCAGAAGAGGGTTGCAAAATACTTAGGGTATTATGAGACGATTATTTGTAATGAATAATTGCATCATTACTGTAAATACGTATTTATATAATATTACGTATTTCATAGGTGACTTGTTTAAAATACAGTATGCTGCCGCCTGTAATTGGCTTGATCTTGCAGTCAGTGTCAATGACTTTGATGCCCGGTTTTAAAGATCATCGATTGCAACTCGGATTTGGAACATCAGACGTTCCTAATACACTAACAAATCAAGTCATTTTGAATGATGTTGTTAGCTATCAAATTCTAGACTGGTGGCATCCAACTTATCCCCACCAAGATTCAATAACCACTATTCAATTGCCAGAAAGTGATTCTTGGGATCAGAGCTTATTATGAAAGAATTCCATATTTTATAATCGAGCAGCTAGATCATAAGTATGATTTCTGTATATGATTATGTAAATAATACATTACATGTCTGTTAAGCTTGATGGTTTGAATGCATTTTCTTCAATATTTCTTCACGAGTTAGATAAATTATCAAAACTGTGTTAGACGATACACAAACAAAAATATATAAATACTGTTTTATTATAATCAATAAATAAGTGACAGAAAATAAGAGAATTTAAACTAGTTTATTTAAAAACGAAAGAAATAGAGAAAGATGCAGTATTATCTTTTGACTGCTGTTTCAACAGCGTGCAATAGCTCTTTCATGTGGAGCACGTTTGAAGTCGAAATCTGCATCTCTGTAATCTGAAATACGGTTTACATGTACAATGTACAAGCCGATTATTCATGTCATGAGAAACGAATTATTTGATAATAGATTTTACCATATTAGTGTAGCTTTGTACATCAACTTGTAACTGAATTCGTATTTTTTCATCGTCGCTTATTCCTTGAATTTCGGAAGCAAGGGATCCCGTAGATTTATCACGTATTTTTTTCAATCTTCTTAAACTCTCCTCAGTTTTTTGCACCGAAGTTAACACATCTGTTACGGAGGCTAAGTAACTGTAACAGTTTGATATAATAAGATATATATCTGATATAATATTATTATGGTATTTAATAATAATTTTTTCCTTACTGTTCAGTTAACATGGAAAGAGTCAATTCTAGCCAATAATTCACATTATCTGGTATTATCATTTTATACTCTGTGTGAAAACTGACAAGGAATGCGAGAGCATTTTTCACGTAAGCGCATGGTTTTGTCGGTACGTCCCTTTTTGTTCGTCTAAATAATCTGGGAATGTCACTAACTTGTTTCAAGTGTGTTACGCATTGTTTCAGTAATTCGTCGACTATCTCGTTCGTAATTTGCGGCGAAATTGTTTTTAAATTCTTTACCGTTTCATCGAGGGAATCTATGAAGTATACAGATAATGATAAAGAAAATTTTAACAATAATAATATTAATATTTCTTGTTACAACCTTTTAACAGTGTCAATACCCTTGGTGTTTTTTGTTCTTGTTTAAGTTTCACTCGAACTATCTCCAAAAGAGATGGAAGTACGTTTGCAAATTTTTCTGCATCTTTATACAAATAAATTAGAAAGTTAAGCTTCTCGGAATGTTCTACTTTGTTTAAATTGCTCGTTTCATTTTCTATTGGCCAAACCTGTACGTACAGTACAGAAGATTAGGATGTTTAATCTTTGTATGCTATATTATTTTAAAAAGCTAGATATACTTCTTTGAGCACTGATTGAATCCATATTCGATATCTGGCGCATATCTGAAGACTCAATTTCCAAAATCTGTGAAAAAGCTGGTACAGATACATATTATCATCCCAAATCCTTTGTAGATTTTCCCATACAATGCAAGTTGCATGAAGAGAGAACTCGCTTTGCGTGAGGGATTCCAACGTTCCTTTTACAGATGCTGGTGATATTGGTTCGATTAAAACCGTCTCAATTCCACTAGCTATTTCTTGAAATCTAATTTGGAAATATACTGGCAAGTTCCACTTTTTCAAAAAGTTTTTGTACTGCGAATTCTTTAGTAATGCAATTAAAGATTCAGGTGTAACACATTCAGCTTCTAGTTTTTGCAAGAACTCCAAGGTTGCGACATATCTCTGAAATTGTGAAACATCGTATAATATTATTACAATGTAATTTTTTATTTACTTACCGAATGGAATAACACTGGATCTCCAGGAGCGAAGATACATTTGATATATTGCTCAATTTTTTCCTCCACGTCGATCCAAAAACTGTTCACCAAAAAATTAAAACCCTTCACCGAGAGTCTGTAAAATAAAGTCTAAAAATATCTGTGCAATGACAGGTAATCTAGTTTCTATGAAACGCGTACCTATTTGGGTGTAACGTAATATCCAACAATTGTTTAAGTTCTACATCTAAAATATTCAACAATCTGTTGTATATATTTTGTAGACCAAGTAAATCAGTGTTCAAGTTTTCTATATTGATTACGCTGTGAACCAATGGGCCGACGATCTCTTTTCTCACTAGGTCTTCTGCGTCAGATATTTTATCAAGCGTGACATAAATTCCCAGACAACGGATTAACAAAGCAGAATTTTTCTCATGTACACACGCCAAGAAAAACTCGTTGAGATGCGTCATGTAAGACTGTTCAAGTTTTTTTCCTTCCTATATTGCAATATAAGATTTCATTCGTTAACAAGAATGACAAATTTATTTTCTTAATAGCCTAAGAAAACATGTACTTCTCGCTTTTCATCGATAATGTTCAGTTTGCACCTGGACATGTGAAACTGTAACTGATTAAATTCCGCAGCTGCTTGTTCCAAGATATCTATTTTAACAGGACTTTCGAGAAATGTATTTAAGGACAATATAGACGAAAGCTTAGCCAAGGACTTATAAATGTGTTGTAAACTGAATATACTTTGCTTATATTCTCGCACTTTCTTATTCTCATTCATGTCATGAGTAATTGTTGTGACTTCGTCATCCAGAGTCTGCTGTACTTGCTACCACAAAAAAATATGTTACTAACAACACTTGACATTTAATATTTTAATACAATCAAGCACACTTTGAATAAATTTACCATTACTTCTTCTCTTAACTGCCCTAAAGGTGTTTGTAGGTCATTTATAGATTTGTCCAAACCAATCATGTTGCTCGACAGGTTTACAAAGTCTGTATAATCTCTGTTAATTAAGTCGATCATGGCAGATCTTAGCAGTTTCAAGTATATTCCAAGATCATCTCGCATCGTCTCCAATTTCGTGCTCTTTCTGTGTTCTTGGAGAAAAGTGTCGACATTGAAGTTCCCCTGGAGCACGCAATTTATTGGTTTAGAAAGATTTTACAGTAAACTGCAGCGCAGAGTTAAAATGCACTTACTTGAATAAAATCAACTTCAGAGAAACACAAATCTTTCGGGGCTTTTGGTAAATTTATATTTTCCTTCGACATGGTAATAGATCTTTTTCACCTTCATTCACTTTTTTTCTATAAAAGAAACATATGTATTTCTTTTTAATTGCTAAATCACAATATTTAATAAAATAATTGTGAATTGATGCATTCGCAATTTTTTATTCAAGCATTAATATGAGCTGCTACTATCTTGTCTACTTTGACAACAATTGTTAACCAAAGCGAAGAAAGGGAATTTAACTACTGCACAATGCTAATTCGGTTTTAAGAGAGATTGATACTGATGATAACTAATCTTTTTTGGTTAGTTTGGTAAAGAAGGTGTATGAAAGAAATGTAAGAAATTGTAAGAAAAGAAAGGAAATTATGATGTGAGAGGATTAAAAGATAATGAACTCAATTAGATTTGCTTTCTTGGATTGCTTCTATGGGTAGATTACAAATATTTATGCATTTGTGGTTTGATCCAAAATTCAAAGATGTGCAAGATGTATTTGACATATTGGTTTGGCAAAACAAAGATGTAAGAGGTTATAAGCATGAAAAGAGTGAAATTGTAATGTCAGACAATTAGGGGATAATTGGAATTTCTTTTGATACTTTTGATACTTTATGCGCTTGCAATTTGAAAAAAGTTTTTATGACTAAACAAATATATGGTTCTACATATTGAAATGTGTAGAACATGGAAGCTAAATTATTTTGTAAATAGATATTACGAAGAGGTATGTTTAGAAAGATATAGAATTATGTAAATTTAACAATTAACACTAGCATTTATGAGAGTTTTAAAATTAAACAAATATATGGGATAAAAAGATATATCAAACAAACATATCTGATACGTGGAAATGTGTAGAAACATGAAAAATAAATTTTGCAAGTGGGAATTGCGAAAAGATCGGAGTTCAAATCGGAAATATAAAAAAATAATTTTTAAGTTTCATAGAACTTAACATCAGCTGATGTATATATACATATACAATGCGAGTGCAAATGCACGACGATAAAACTTTTACGTACGAATCAATCCAAAAACCAATCAAGGACGATCAAGTTAGAATTTCGAGGTTTTTTTTTTTACAGCAAAGAGAATCTCACCGAGTTTACTCTTTCAATGACAGTGAAACGCAATTAGGTCTGCGACCTAACTTGACGCGTACGTACATATGGCGCGTACGTGTGGATCGTGCATGCACGCACGCGTACAATGCAATCACAGGAAAACGTAGAGTGACGGCGAGCGCGGTTCGTGCTCGTGGCTGGCAAGTAAATAATTCCACGCTTGCATTGATGAGAGAGAATCCACCGTTGCGAAACAAAATCCAACGGTACAGGAATCATAGTGTTTTGTTCGCGGGGGACCACGAAGCGAGAAAGGGCGCTAGGGTATTTTCTCGAGGGCGGAACAGCCGTGGAGCCATCGCCGAGGAGCTTGACAAGTCTCGCTACTCTTAGTGAAATTTATTTTCAAAATGGCAGCTACGAGAAGATTGCAAAAGGTAAATCGAGGTATCTCTGTCGGCGGGAGAGACAGTACGGGAGGAACCTTTGTGAGAAACTTTGCGAACGTGCAGGAAATTCTGAGAATTTCAACGGAACCTCTTGCAGCGCGGTCGTTTGACGAGGATTGAGACCTCGTAGCGTCTTCCGGGACGATAGATCGACGTTTTTCCCCACGACGATGTAGAACACGTTCGGGTGTTCTCAGGTGTTGCGCGTTAACCGTTCGTCTTCGTTGAGAGAAGTGTCTCGGAATGCTCTTCTTCAGTCACAGTTCTCGTCATTTGTTCGAAGAACGTTCCTTTTAATTCAGTTTGATCAGAGTTTGCACCGAGCAGAGGTCTCCGCTCGAACGATAACCGTGCTACTCTTTCTTTTTTTTTTTTGCAGGAACTTGGCGACCTGAGAGCCTCGGCAATGAAAAACTTCACAAACATTCAAGTGGACGAGTCGAATATCCTCACCTGGCAAGGCCTCATACTGCCGGTATGTTTTTCATCTGCCATTCTGCTTCGCAAATGTGATCTGATCTAATCTGACCTAACCTAGTTCTGCTTTGCAAAGGCAACTTTGCAGTTAAATGCACTCGTCTAACAGTGCTGTACTGCAATTTACTTTTGAACGAAGTTCAAATTGGAATGATTCTACGACCTTGCACAAGTTTTACACTTAGGTGTCTTTTTTTTTTTTGTTGTTTCTCCTGAGGAAGAAGCTGCTCGTTGCTCATACTCTCTAAAATGCTTTTTTTTTTTCTTTTTTTTTAGGACAACCCACCGTACAACAAAGGAGCGTTTCGCATTGAAATAAACTTCCCCGCGGAATATCCCTTCAAACCTCCAAGGATAAACTTTAAGACAAAAATATATCATCCGAACGTGGATGAGAAAGGACAAGTGTGCTTACCGATAATAAGTGCCGAGAATTGGAAACCAGCTACAAAGACGGATCAAGGTAAAGTCTTCTTTCAGTTGTCATTGTTTTTATTGCTGCAAATAAGTTTTACAACCAATTTATTTGCAGTTGTACAAGCTTTGATAGCGTTAGTAAATGATCCTGAACCGGAGCATCCTTTGAGGGCAGATCTTGCCGAGGAATTTTTAAAGGATAGAAAAAAGTTTTTAAAAAACGCGGAAGAATTCACGAAGAAGCACGCAGAGAAGAGGCGGGAGTCGTCGTCTTCTAACGAATAACCACGAGTGACCGACTTTTACTCACCATGATGCCTGCCACTCGTCAGCTAATTTAATTCAAACCAAGATAGACTTCTCTGTTACATGAAAAAGCAAGTTGAATGAGATACATGTGTACAGTATTGGTTAACTATCGACAATGATGATATTAATACGTGCAAATTGTAATGTTTATAAAGTGGATTAACAAATTTTTTCAGAGCAAAGTAAAAAAAAAAAATATAATAAACTAACTGTATGATATTGTATACAATTTGTATTTTGAAGTATGGACACGGCGGTCCGTGTGGTTTCCAAGAGGCGTGAGAAAATACCACCTGCTCTTTGTGTTAAGAAAAAAAAAGAGAGAGAGAAAGCAAGGCAATTATAATGCATCGTGATAAATATACACAATTGTAGAACAATGCATTTACTTTCAACGTTAAATGATACATTATGGACATGTTAACGCCATTACGGATGAATCTTGATTCGTATTAACTAAATCCAGAAGCATCAAAGTGAGTGTATATAAGATTTATACAGTTGTTAAATTGATCATACTGGGAAACTGTAATCCCATTTTCAGTATGTGAATTTTCGATTGAGAGTATTTTCTTAATGTTTACTTGAGAGTATAATTCCATCTTCTAATATAGAAAGTTAATTTATAATTTAATTGAAACTGAATTACTTTCCCTGTATGCCTATCTTTGAAAGTAATGTTGCTCCATTAAACAGTAAGAAATTAAATTAATGCCCTTATTTACTTCGTTGTTTTATGTGACGCATTACGCTGTAGAATAATTCAAATTGTAAATTCTGAAATACTAATATTAGCAATTAAAATAAACTTCAAACTATATCTTACCTCATTGATTATGTGCGTATATATAAATAGTAAAGAGATACTATTGTATTTAACACGTTCGCGGTGTGATCCGCTCCACGCCACCAGTGTGTGCGGCATCGATGAATTTCATCATTACGAATTTGTTAATTTCAACGAGAGATGTTAGAGAAATGGAACAGAGAGGGATCGGACAGAATTGATATGATATTCTTGTATTTAAAATGCGTTGAAACCGAAGGATTGCTTTTACAGGGTTTTATTTTTTATTCAGTTTGCGTAAGAAAAGGTAAAACCTTTTGTTTAAATATTAAAACTCTATATTAATAAATAAAGATATAAATGAAAATAAAAATATGATGCATTTCATATGTTTTTCATTTACTGACACACGAGCTCATAGTAATACGGTTCTTTTTTAATCATAATTTTCTTTTTCTCGTTACTTTATTATAGTTCTTCGTCTTTCGTATAAGCTCATGCGCGCACTCTTTTTTTTTCTTTTTTTTTTTAATTCCTCCAGTAAACTCCGCATCTGTTACAAATTCGTAGATTCCACTTTTGGCATACTATAATAAATATTCTGCGATGTAACGAAGAATTGGATTTATTTGATTGATAGTACAATAATTGATGAGCTAGGTGGAAGAGGTGGATCTTGCAGAGACCTAACTTGATATCGAATTGATAAAAAAATGAGATTTGTTGGGAAAAAAGGGAAAAACGCGATAAAATTTTAGAGGGACATGGAAAATGATTAAAATAAAGTAATCAGACGTTGAAAATGAGGCAAATATATTCTTAGATATACATTCACACTGTTTATGTACACATATAATAGATAATCACGAATGTAAATAAAATCACTCTTTAACGCTAACAGTTTTAATAAAATTTATGCTACATCTACAAATGTTTTTTTGATCACTGGGATATAATTATAGGCTTTACAAATGTAAAAAATGGTCGAAAAACGACATACACACTGGGTGAATCAATTTTGACGACTGTAACTTACTGTCCATTTATTACTAATAAATGTTTGTATATAATGTATATTCAACTAAATCTTATTAAATTTAAATTACAATTCTTCTATTACAGAAAGTGTTTTCATATACTTAACTAAATCAATCACATGTAACTGAAATACGATGAAATGAATTCAGGGAAAGAGGGGATATATCAAGAATTTTTACAGAAATTACTCATAAAACATGATCTTATACTTGGAAGTATATGCTCTGACTCGTTCGATTATTTTCATGTCAACCTTTTCCACCAAACTAGCCAATTATGCATGTAAATTACGAGGCAATCAACATCAATTAATTTCAATTTATCTTACAAAATTATTGATCTCTTTTTTTTTTGTTTAAATGAAATTCTATTTTAAATTTTAGGTTTTGAACTAACAGAACTGAAATTAACACGCGACACTACGTACAACAGCTGTATTAAAAATGAGAGGAGACAATATCAAAATTTATCAAAGCCTAAAACATAAAATAGAAATTGATTCGTACGGGCAATAAATCATAAATTAATGGAATGTTGAATCAGTGATCCGAGTTGTATACGGTCGTGATGTGGAATGCCTCATTCGTGATCATCTTAATTATGTTCGTAAAAGAACACTGGAAATGATAACAATTTTTTATCAATGAATCAATGAAAAAAACTGAGCAAATCGACAAAATATTACGAGACAATGAGAGAATATTTGAAGGAACAGATGTTGTTACAGGCTACTTACATGTTTGTACAGATCCAACATTTAAATTTGGGTATTAAGCAACGTACGTATACACCTTTCTGCAATTGAAACGATTGAAACAACGTTACAAATAATAGTAACAGCTCTATAATAAAATGCAAGACTAATTGTTATACAAACCTATCTTCTGGCGTGCGTGCCAAATATTCACGTTCGATCAAACCTTCAATGCGTTTTTTAATTATTACGGGCGATGGCAAAAACCGGCCTTTTAATTGTTCTGTTACTTCTGTTACAAGTATATTGTGCTAGAAAAAAGAAGGATAAAGTATGATAAGAACAAAAAATTAAAATGTTTGAGTAGTATTATAAATTACAATAATAACGATACGTACTGGCATACGCTTCCTGTCTTTCATAATACGAACAATAGCTGCTTCTATCTCGTGCTTTCGGTCTTCATCTACTTTGTTACGAGTTTCTCTTCTTTCAGGTTCCGATTCACCTTTCGCAGCTACCGTTTGTATTTTTACTCTAAAATATTGTTCAAGAAGTTATCAATCGTCAATTGTAATATACTTTATTTTAGGCTGGTCCATTTACGTGAAGTCATCTAAATATCTTTTCAAATTATGACGATGCAAAAAATATTTTTCGCCTGACACGAATAGTATCGAGACCAATAACTGGTAAGAATATCTTTTCTCCAAGATCACTTTTTTTCAGAGTTTTCAAGATCATTTTCTCATACATATATATTTCTATAAATACAATAAAAAATACAACTATAGATACAAAAGAAAAAAAAACATACTGTATGAAACTTCGAAAAAATGACCTTAAAGAAAGATATTCTTATCAGAATTATTTTCATTCATATCAGGCAAAAAATCTTTTTTCCATCGTCACAATTCGAAAAGATATTTAGGTGGCCTCACTTCAATGGACTATGTCGCTTTAATATAAGAATACCTGTGCAATTTACTGGTAAAACTGTCATTGACACAGAAATAGTGCGAGGGCTCTATCTCTTTTGTACGAGGATGTTTCAACAACACTCTCTGGGTAGCTTTGCCCATTGCGAGAGATTGTAATGCTCTAACCAAGTCTCTCTCTGGAATATCGGTTTCACCTTGAATCTCCTACGCAATGTTTCATATATTGTACAGATAATCGTGAGACGTTAAGGCCAAGTAACGTAGAAGGAAAAAAGAATCGAGAAATAAAAACTACTGTTCACACTGACCTCGTACGTCAATTTCTCTCTTTTGTTGAAAAGCATTAAAACACACATTTGATAAGTTGACACTTGGATTATATGTTTCCTCGTGTTTCCGCAACTGTTGCTACGCTGGTTTAGAATACTACCATTAGTGGATACTCCACTACCATATACGCTACCACTTCCATTACCGATGGAGCTCGAAGACGACGGTGTATCTAAACCACCACAACTATTTTCCTCTCTTCGCGGCCCGTGAAATACAGCGTTCAAATCCGCGGAACCTAAAAAGATTACGTTAATCTAACTCGATGATTCAAGGAAGACACGTTAAGAGAAAAAAGAATGATACTAGCCGACTGACCTAATTGTGGCTGTAACGTCAATTGTCGACCACTGTGTTTAGCAAGATAAAAACGTCGGAAGGCATCGAAAGCGTCTCGTGGGGCAGCTGGCATGCTACATTTCGGAGTGGCGGACTGCGTTGGCCAAAAGCCGGTTGTTAAAACTCTAACGCTTATATCCACTCCGTGTAAATTTGTCTGCAATGCGAAAAAAAAAAAATGAATTTAAAAATCAATCGTTGCAAATTGGTTTACATTAGGCGTGGCTTACATTAGATGTAAGGACGTGATCTTTGAATTCATCCATAATTGTATTACTGACTGTTATGTCTTTGAACATTCCTTCCAATTTTGATGTGAATTGACACCCACATTCAGTCTACAATATTAATATTATCACGATAAAAATGATGTCGACAGTGATATTGTATCATAATCGAACAGAGAATAAGATATTACCTTAAGTTTGGATATCATATTTTTTTCGCTATCGTCGGACACGGATTTATTCAAGAGAAGACGTTTAGCTAAATGCTGTTTGTAATATCGTTCAAACACATCCTTTTCTTGAAGAAATCTAAATAAAACCATAGTTTTATCCAAGATACCTTCAATCTCCTGTTCTGTCATCTAAAATATAGTGTATGGAAGATTGATTAACGTTATTTATATTTGCATTATTAACTAGGTTATTAACTAATTTGTGTATGAAACGACCCTTTGTAAAATGATGAAAAAATGATTTATTAAAATTTCATCAATATTACCTACCATGAGCGCTTATTTATAGAAATACAGTTAACAGAACTAACCCCTTTAACACCTTTCTTCAGCTTGTCGTCAATGAAGAGCGAAAGATATTCAGGACTTTTTGTATTTAAATTAAGAAAATATTCAAAGTCAGATGCGATCATTTGTTTGTAGTTTTTGTCATTGTTGAACGAATAGTGAAGAAAATGATCGAAACGGTCTTTCAAATCCAACAAGTTCTGAATGAAGAGAACAGCATTCGTTGTCGATTCGTGTTCTTCTTGAACCATGGCACGTCCTTGTTCTTTAAGAAACTGAGAGACACAATCGCACACTGTACGCAAGCCATCCGAAACTCTTGAAAATAATTTGTACATGCAACCGAGATCTTCAGTTTTCTGATTTTTGAGCATGTGTACTACGCCACTATTTTCCATCTTTAATAAAAAAAAATAATAATAATTATTATTCCAGTTTATCGCTTTATACAATAATACGATACATTGTACATATATAATAGAATGATATTCATACTTCAACGATAGTTTTCATATGAATTTTAATTAGCTCTTCTTCTACGACTTCTACTATTCGCGGTTCGGTAGATTCATCTAAATAATGCTTTGCCCTTTCTGATTCTTCGCAAATTCTAGCTTCGACTTTTTTTATATATACTGACGCGCTATTCTCTGCCAAAAATTTTTGCGATTCCATCT